GGGACTCCAGGATCATGACCTGAGCCGAAGGCAGTCGCCCAACCAACTGAGCCACCCAGGAGCCCTCCTTTATTCAGTCTTAAACCTTCCCTTGCCCCCGAATGGACTTGTAGGCCAGCTCTGTGGCTGTGGGGCTGATGAACATACGTGTTCTGGGCCCAGATCCACCTGCTGGCCCCCTGCAGGGTGGCCTCGGACCCGCTGGAGCAAAATCTGCAAAGCCTCTTGAGGTCCGGGTGCAGAAACCCCTAATACCATTTTTGCCACATTTTTTGGTCAAAGCGCGTGACCAGGCCCACACAGATGAAAAGGCGGCCTGCTTTTTACTAGCGCCGTGTGCTGGCAAGCCTCAACACCGCGAGCAAGGGCTCCTCCCGCCGGGACATGCGGCTGCCCCCGCACGCCTCCCCCTGAGCTGTCCCTAGGGACAAAGTTGCGGCCCACACTGCCCACGGCCCCGGGGAGGGGCGGAGAGAGCCGTGAGACCAGGCTGGGAGGGAGCGGGGACTGCTGTCCTTCTCGGGGCACACTTCTGCCCCGTGCTGCAGCTTCTGCTCGGTGGCTGTATCACCTGCAGCTGGTAAAAGGCAGTTCATTATACTGCCATGAGCTAGTGAAATTGTAACAAACGGTAACATTGGCATGTCGTTTTCAGGAAGAAATAAATGTCTTGGAGTGAAAAGGGGGCTCCCAGCATGCACCCGGTCATGACGAGAGCTTTGAAAGCGCCCTGTGCGCAGCGGCGCCCAGGGGCCCTGGGTGCAGTTGGTCACCTGCCGTCGGGAGACGAGACTGGCTTGTGGCGAGGACGCGAGCTTCATCCTCCTGACGCTGTCCTGCTGGGGTGTTGGGCATTCACTTCTGCAGAGGATGCGTCCACTAATAATACTTCTTCTGTTGAAGAAAGAGAGGGACAAACATGCTATATCATATCGCAAAATTAACTTGTGACTAGTCCTTATGCCCCACATTTTGGCAGTATCTCCACCTCTTACCCATCAGACAATGGGTGTAAGCTCTCAGAAGCATGAGCTAGGTCTGTCTGTAGGCTCGTCTTGTTTTTTTTTTTTTTTAATTTTAAAGAAATGTGTATATATATATTTAAAAGTTGTGAAAGAGCACCTGGGTATCTCAGTTGTTAGGCGTCTGCCTTAGGCTCAGGTCATGATCCCAGGGTCCTGGGATCGAGCCCCGCATCGGGCTCCCTACTCCGCGGGAAGCCTGCTTCCCCCTCTCCCTCTGCCCCTGCTTGTGGGAATCTCTCTCTCTCTGTCTGTCTCTCATGAATAAATAAATAAAGTCTTAAAAAAATAAAAAAATAAAGTTGTGGAATATAACACAATTAAGAAAAATATGTAAGGGGCACCTGGGGGCTCAGTCGGTTGAGCGCCCGACTCCTGGTTTCGGCTCAGGTCATGATCTTGGGGTCGTGAGATCGAGCCCCGCGTCCAGCTTCGCGCTCAATGGGGAGTCTGCTGGAGATTCTCTCCCTGGGCCCCTCCCCCCACTTGCTCGCTCTCACCTTTGCTTGGAGACCGCACTGGTCAGCCGAGGCTTTCTCAGGCCTGCGCCACAGTCTGAGGGCCCCCTGCCTCCTTCTGTGCCCCCGCCCCCCGTCCTCCACGGGCACCTGCCCCACCGATGCTTGTGTGTCTAGCCCCGACCTGGGGGCCCCAAATGACCTGGGGCGGGGGGACCTGGATAAGCAGGGTGACAAAGGCTGGGCTCAGTCCGGGGGAGGGGATGGGCTTTCTGAAGGAAGAGTGGGTGGACGTGCCTGGGTGTGCAGAGCAGGGAGGACGGGGAGCTGAGGCAGCTCTGGGGTTGGACTCGGTCAGTGTGCCGCCGAGCGGGGGCTCTGTCGGGACGGCGATGGTTTTAGCTCTGTGCTCAGTCAGGGGTTTTCATGGGAAAAGTAACGTGGTAAGTTACATTTGAGCTGGTGTGCACTGTTTGCTGGGTGCATTTGTGCAGGACCTCTCTCCAGCAGGGCCTTCCACAGGGAGGAAGGGAAGCAGTTGAGGGGATCCCATGTGTCCCTTCCCCTGCAGTCTTTGTGCCAGGCCCCACTCCGGGCCGTCTTCCAAGGGCTGAAGAGTCAGCGGAAGAACTGATCAGTTAGGCGGCATCTAGTTGAGGCCTCAGGTCAGGTGGTGGTGGCTGAGATGGAGATGGGGGTGGGGTATGTGCGGGAGGGCCTGGGATATGCACCGGCGGTCACACTGCAGAGAGTGACTTGGGGCAGGTCACGGAGAGGACTCTACGGCTGGTCGCCGGCGAGTTGGCCCCAGGCAATGGCAGGCCCTCGCCCCCGCCCCTGTCCTCACAGGCCCGTCCTGCTCACCATTCCCGCGGTGGACCGCGGCAGAGCCCGGTCGTGCTGGGAGGGTCTGGACCCAAATCTGGAGGATTTACGTGGCTGGACCTGGTTCTGGCCTCCATACAGACTTGTGAGAAGTGGCACACAGATGTGCGGGAGCCACGTGGCTGGCTGTGCCGTGCAGGTTCCCCTGCTTATTGCACCTGCCGCCCGCCATGGAGCCGCCGCCTCTTTCCTCCATCCCTCCCTGTCCTCGCGCTGGGGGTGGGGTGGGGGCAGATCGATTATACGGGTGCCACAGAAGGGGCGACACCACGGCATGAGGTGGGGAGGCGCATGTCCGTGAGAAGGCAGGACCGTTGTGGCTGGCTCGGCAGAAGGACAAGAATACAGCGAGACCTTTACGCGGGGGTGCGGTGTGCCGTCGCTGCAGGTAGGCTAGTGGGAAGGGGTTTTGGTGGCAGGAAGAGAAGAGCCGCAGAGGGGTTGGAATCACAAAGCTTCCCGAGAACTTTAAGACTGGCTTGGCTGGTTGGTCCCGTGGCCACTGGGCTCTGTGGATGGCGATGGTGTGGACGCCGTGTCCGGGAGGGGAGCTAGACTCCGAGGTTCCGATGGACAGATGGTTCAAGGGAGTTGCTAACTATACCGTTGGGTACCAGGTTTCAAACTAAATTTGGGCTGCAGCTTCCAGCTTTTCGTTGGCCCTGGATTGAGAATAGCCTCTCATCTCCCAGCCATCTGGTCCCTCCTGGTCTCCCCTGCCGAGTGACGTCTCCGCATATCTTCCCACAGAGAGGACAGACTCTCAAACACAATCTATTAGGTGAATCTATGTTTTTCCAATGGAGGAGCCCCAGGTGGGATTCTGGGGAGGAATGGGTCCCCACATTGGAAGCGTCTGTGGGGTGTGGGTGGGATGGGATGGCCCCCTTGGGCAGCCGCACGTTGAGCTGTGCCCTGGACGGGGTAGTCCCTGCCTGTGCGCCTGGATCTTGGTTTCTCGAAACTTCCTTTTCTGAACGAGCATGCTCTGGTGCCACCTCTCTGTCATCTAGCGTCAGTGGGCGTGTGCGCATGCCCACTCTGTGCAGGGCGCTGGTGGCCCAAAGTGGTAGAAGCAACACCACTGCTGGTTGGAACACCACCAGTGTCTTAGATGACAAAAACAGAGGACGAGCTAGCTCTAACCACAGCATTCATTACTGGTAAGAGAATAACCCGTTATTATGTGTCTGCACGGAGACCATGAGCCAGGCTTGTGGAGACCTTGAGACAGACCAGACTCGAGCTTTCTCCCCTCCCACCCTCAGCCCCTGCCCCTGACAAGCCAGCATTTTCGTCCCGGGGAGATCAGGCCAAAAGGAATGTCGAGGGCTAATCGGAAGAGGGTCCATCACAAACTGGGCCCACGCGACCGGAGGGGTGAACGGAATTGGAGGGAGGCGTTACCACTTGGCTAGCGCTGGGAAGTCTGGGGCCTCGGGCTCCCCTCCTCAGCACCGGAGCTGCCCTCCGCCCTCCGCCGGCGTCCTCACCCAGTTCTGCCTTGTACCAGGAGGCCCCTGTCGGCCAAGAGAAGCCGTTACGTTTGAGACAAATCTGTGGCGATACTTGTGCGGATGTAGCTCAGGTGGCCCCTGACAGGTGTCTGGTGAGGGCACCTGCGGAATTGCCTGGGGGGCTTGCGGGGGTTTGAAGACTCTGGTGGTGGGCACAGGGCGCCCGGGCGGTGCAGTCGGGTGAGCGGCCGACTCTTGGTTTCAGCTCAGGTCGTGATCTCAGGGTCGTGAGATCGAGCCCAGGGTCAGGCTCCGTCCTGAGTGTGGAGTCTGGGATTCTCTCTCTCCCTCTCCCCCTCCCCCTAATCACACACGCACTCTCTCTGTAAATAAATAAATAAATCTTAAAAAAAAACAAACAAACACTGGTGGTGGGCAGACCCACCGCACGAACCTACCCTCTTCCATCTCTGATCACAGATGCCCCCAGGGCTGAACGTGAGCCGATTTGGATGTGACAAGTCCAGCGGATTCAACTCATCAGAGTTTCTCGATAACAACAAGCAGGCTACGAAACCGGTAACATTTCCCCAAATAGATTTTGTGATGCTTGCAGGCTCCTCTCCACACATACCGGGTGGGGGAGGTGTTTCCATGAGTGATGGACCTGAAAGTGTGTGTGGGGGGGTGCGGGGGCTGCTCACTGCAAATGTTTTCTTCTTGCCAAAATGTTAAACACGTCTTGTGAGGGTGGTTTAAGTCTTTGTGGTCAGCTGCATACGTGGAGTCAGTTCTGTGGCTCGGCCACACCAGCGGTCACGGGCGTCCTGGTTGCAGAGGTGCAAGGTACGGTGGGAAATCCAGGCGAGGCGAAGTGCACGAGTCATGAAGCTGTGCTCTTAAGGGATAAGGCTGTACATTTCCTGGGCTTGTCCCGGGGGCCTTGAGCCCTGGAGAGCCTGGACCCGGCACCCCTGTGTGCTCCAGACCCCTGGTCTGCGTCGCTGTCCGTCTGAGCCCTGCTCTCGCTGCCCGCCCTTGGCCAGCCTGGGGCTTTCTCCCCTTGCTTCCTGCCCCTGCCCCACCTTGCAGCGGCAACCCCTCTTTGGAGCGTGAGGTTGGAAGCTGCTTCCCCTGGGAAGGCTTCTCGGAGCCTCCAGGCCTGGTGCTGTGTGCCCCCACCGAGCCCCCGCGTCTCCTGGACACAGGACATCGTTTATCCCCCTTGGCTTCTAAACCATTTGCTCCCCGGGCAGGACTGCTTACTTTCCCACACGGAGTCTGGCATACAGTCGGTGCTCAGTGACGCAGCGAGGGGCTGCGCCGTGTTGTCACTGGAGGCCCGGCTGCTCGTCTTCCTTTTCTCCTCTCCCTCACTCCGTCTCCCGGACAGCCTCCTCCTTGTCCGAACCAACTCGGAAGTGCTCTCGTCTGTTTCTGTTTCATACCTGGCTGCTACTTCCCTAAAGTCTGTTTGGGCGAAATAATAAAACTCCGTTTGTGTTATTTGCTCGGATGTTTTTCCACGCTGTGTCATGGTCGCAGAAGGAGAAAATCACAGCTGTGGGGGGAAGACCCGCCTGGTGCACAGGGCCAGGAGGGCCAGGGCATTACCCTGGACACTGGGCCATGGGCACGTGCATCTCCACACCCCCATCGGTAATTCCAGGTGGTTCTCCAAGTGCTCGTCCCCATTTCCACTCCCGCCAGCACCGTGCATGCGCTCCGGCTTTTCTGCATCATCAGCAGCCCTTGCTTTTGTCGGACCCGTTCAACCTCTCCAGTCTGCTGGTGTGAAATGGTGTCTCGCTGTGGCTTAGTTTTGCTTTCACCACTTAGGCATGGGGTTGAGCATATTGCATACGAATGGAGCTGTTCATGTTTCTTCTTATGCGGAGAGCTAGCTCAAGTCCTTTGCTAGCTGTTTTCTATGGGGATATATGTGTTTTTCTTATTCACTCACCACGGCCCCTGAGCCTCACATCCTTTGCCCATTTTTGAATTGGGCTGTTTATTTTTTTGTTGTTGAGTTGTATGAGTTCTTTATATATGCTGGATATTAATCCCTGACCAGACATAGACTTTGCAAATAGGCTCTCCCATTCTGTGGGTTTTGCTTCACTCTCCTGTAGTGTCCGCTGATGCACAGTAGTCTTTAATTTTGATGAAGTCCTATTTATCTGTCTTTTCTTTTGTTGCCTTTGTCTTTGGTGTGCTATCCAAGAAATCACTGCCAAGTCCAAAGTCATGGAGACTTTCCTCTACGTTTTCTTCCGAGGTCTGTAGTTTTAGCCCTTAAGTTTAGCTCTTCGATCCTTTTTGGGTTATTTTTTTAAAAAGATTTATTTATTTGAGAGAGAGAGAGAGAGAGCGCATGTGCACGTGAAGGGGGGAGGGGCAGAGGGAGAGGGAGAGAGGATCTCAAGCCGACTCCGCACTGAGCGTGGAGCCCAATGCAGGGCTCAATCTCACAACCCTGAGATCACGACCTGAGCCAAAACCAAGAGTCGGATGCTTAACTGACTACACCACCCAGACACCCCAGCCTTTTTGGGTTAATTTTTGTATATGATGTAGGGTAAAGGTCCAAATTCACTCTTTTGCATGTGGATAACCAGTTTTTCCAGGACCGTCTGTTGAAAAGACTGTCCTTTTTCCATGGAATGCTCTTGGCACCTTGTTGAAAATCAGTTGGCCATTGTTTCAGGGCTTTGTGTCACCACACGTCTCCTTCCTGTTTTTGTGGGTTTTGAGGGAACACAACTAGTGAGTGTGGTTAGCCTGCCATCTGACCCAGAGCCCTAAGATTTCTGGAAATAAAAATGGCCTCGTCATGGAGCAAGCATTGGAAATCCCTGCCCCCATGCTTCTACCCCCTCTGTCCCTCGTTTAGAAGCCTTTGCTCTGGGGCCACTTCCACACTCTCTGCTCTGCTGGTTAATCTGATCACTTATTTTGACTACTGACTAGTGTAAAAAATAATCAGGTTACTCATTGCTCTTGAGACGGTAATATGAAGAGCCCCAAGCATGTTGATTATCTCCTAACGTGAGGATGTAAGAGAAGTAAAGTGTACTACTCTTGAAAACAGGGCTATGTGGTTCGCATCATGGGGGGGAAAGGAATTGTCATTCTCCCAAGCCCATTATTTCATTATTGACTGGTTGGCTTTTTAAAGGTGATGGGCTTTCTTTTTCTTTTCTTGGGAGATGATCTGCTCATCTGCTTTGCTAAGGGTCTTTAGGGATAACATTTGAGTCACTCATAAGCCTGGAAGACAGACAGACATTGTAATATCCGAATTACCCTGGGACAGGGACTCTCGGAAGCTGGAGGGGTTGAAGCTGCACTGCCTGGCGTTGTGCCTTTTCCCACCTCTGGAGTCAGACTGACGTGCCAGGTTGAAACATCAAACATTTGTCTGTTCAGATGATGGGGCCAGTGTGCACGCAGTAGGAATGAAGATTGACCACAAAAATCAGGCAGAGGGGATGTGGAGGGACTAGGGAAGCCGGTTCTTTCTGGGTGGTCTTTGCATTTCCATTCCTAAAATTAACATACTGTTTGGCTTTTTGGCTTGGATAAACTGAGGGCTGGGGTTTCCTTTACCCTCTCTGTGCTCCCCCAGCTGTCCCTGGGTTGGTTTATTTATTTTAACTGCTGTTTATGGTTGACACACAGCATAGATGGCCAGCCCCCGGAGTGTGTTAGTGGATTAGCATAAAGCTCTAGAGGCAAATATTTTCTGACTCTGGGAGAGGCGGATGTGGCTGGGCTTTTCTTTAGCATGGTTTGCTGTGACCGGCATGCTCCATGAAGATAGAAAAGGACAGGGCGCCTGGGTGGCTCAGACGGTTAAGCGTCTGCCTTCGGCTCAGGTCTTGATCTCAGGGTCCTGGGATCGAGTCCCGCATCGGGCTCCCTGCTCCTTGGGAGCCTGCTTCTCCCTCTGCCTCTCTCTCTCTCTCATGAATAAATAAATAAAATCTTTAAAAAAAAAAAAGATAGAAAAGGACAAAACATGTCACTTTTCTCTCCGAATTAGCTACTGACTAGTTTTTCATCTCAAATAGTGATGGATATTGAAATATCCTATGTGCAATGCACCCAGATCCCACAGAATTTCCTCCTTACATACATAGGTAATGAGATGGAAGGAATTTTATTCACCTGAATTCCTTTTAGAGAGAGTGAGTATGTGTTCAGGAGAAATATTTTGAGAAGCCTGTTGAGGTCAGGGTGGGGGACCCCAAGTGACATGCTCAGAATCAGAAGGTGTTCCGAATGCCTTCTAAGGAGGGTGAGTCCTGCTAACCAGCAGATTTTGCTTTTCTGAAGACTGAGACCGTCAGGTGTGCAAGCTTGCAGGTTAGGAGTAGCCGTGTGCCTGCATTACTCTTAACGATGGAGGGGGCAGAATCTGCCTTTAATTTACTTCTCAGCCACACAACTCTGCTGAGGTCCACTGCCTGTCCCCGGGGCAAACATGGCACATTTCCTGGGGCATCGGTGGTCTGCATAAATGGACCGTGGAGAGTTCCAAACTCACATACGCTGTTAAAAACATTGACCTTTATTTTTTTTAATTATTTTATTTATTTGTTTATTTGACAGAGAGAGAGAGACAGTGAGAGAGTGAACACAAGCAGGGGGAGTGGGAGAGGGAGAAGTAGGCCTCCTGCGGAGCAGGGAGCCTGATGCGGGGCTCGATCCCAGGACCCTGGGACCATGACCCGAGCTGAATGCAGACGCTTAACGACTGAGCCACCCAGGAGCCCCAAAACATTGACCTTTAAAGACATTGCTCTGAGTCACGTGAGTCTGTGGTCCCGGACACTCCTGCTCCATCTGCTATGTACTTACCTTCCCTAGCCGCACACAAAGTGCTACGAGAATCAGGGACAGAGGGAGCGTTTCCGGCCATGGACAGTCACTGAGTGACCTCGGGGGCCTTTAGGGAGGCAGCACCGAAGATGAGTCTCCAAGGATGGAGAGTTTTTGTTAGGGAGAGGATGGTGGGTCTGTGTTGGGTGGGCGGGGACCTGCCAGGTGAGGGGGTGGCGTGAGTCCCAGGTCAGGGTGGAAATGCCAAGCAGAGAGGGGACCAGTGTGGCCGAGCTGTGGGACAGTGAGGGAGGAGGAGATCTGGATTGTGCATGGGGACCAGTGGGCAGGAGCCAACCATCAACTACCCTTTTTTTGTTGTTGGGCATCCCTGATGAGAGACCAGGGTGTTTGGTCAGCGATCCCTCATCAAAGATGCCTCAGAATCACCAGGGCAGAACTTTGAGCCCTGCTGGGACCCCGCCACTGGAGTTTCTGATTCAGGAGGTCTGCTGTGGAGCCCAAGAGAGCTGTATTTGGAAAACGCTCTTCAACAATTTTTGTTCACTCCCCGGTTTTAAAACGCAGCAATGGGAGGTGATGGCAGTAGGCCACTTGTAATGTGGTAGAACTTGGATTCTGAATTCAGGGCGGTGGTGATGGGACGGAAGAGGGGGTCCGTTTGAAAGGCTCTAAAGGGGCAGGGAGGGCGTGAGGTGACGTCAGACCTGCCAGAAACCCAAACTGCGATCACATTGGTTTGTTCAGCGGTTCCTGAATGGAACCCATCCCATCC